TGTGTGTGTGTGTGTGTGTGTGTGTGTGTGTGTGTGTGTGTGTGTGTTCAAATGCTGGAAAAGGAAGCTCATCCAATATCAATATCATTCTAAGGGTCACTGTATATTAGATGCCGTCTTTTATGGGTTCTTCTGTTTTTACAGACGCTCAACTTGATTGCCTTTAGCAAACGTGATGACAGAAATTCAATCTTTTTGAAGGTTTTATTAGATAACAGCCTAAGGAGTGATGTTGAGTGATGGAGTCTCCTGATATTTTCAGCGCTTTATTAAAAATACAAGACTTTTTGTTCATGGATTTGAATAAAATGTGGGGTTTTTTTGTGTTTTTTTTTAAGGAAAACTGGAGAATGTCTTGTTGTTTTGTTGTGGGTGCCAAATCATGTTTTGCCCTAAGGCAGACGTGCAAATAGTTTTACTTGTTTGTGTGTGTGTGTGTACATGTTTTTGTGTATTTATTTGTATGTAGCAAAATAAAAATATCAAATGAACCAGTGGACATATTTTAATGAAAATGCCAGCAATGATACTGTATCTACAAACTAATAACTTTTGAAGACAGTCCCATTCAAAATGGCTGCCACAACTGTGACTTTAGAAAACGCAAAAAAAAAAAAAAGGTAAAAATTCAGCCAGTTTTAGATATTGTATTAAAATTTAGTGTGAAAGCAGCTGATCAACATTCCCAACACTCAGAGGACCATGCACTGTGCATCATTTTTGCAGAAAATATTGGCATTAAGTGTTGGCATCAATCTTGTTTTCTTTGAGCCAAATATCTTATGAACCACTGATCCAATTCTATTGAAACTTTCAAAAAGTAATCACTGAATGTGCATCTACGAATAGTTGGCTTTTTGAGTATTGCAATTTCAAGATGGCCACCACAACTAATTGACCCAACACAAAAATGTCTCTGTCCTTTCAGTTTTACAGATTTTGAACTAAACGTTGGTGTGTTAGTAGCTGAGGGTTATCTTCAACACATTTGTCAAGCTCAAAAGATCATGCATAAGATAAATATATTTACAAGATTTGATCAAAACAACTATAACTCTGTCTCCTCCCATTGTAAGTTGAATTTTGTTTAAAACTTTGGTATGAAAGGTGGTGGACAATATGCATTCCTTACAGCAGATGTGGGCAACATAAGCCAAAAGTGGCCTATGGACAATCGCTTTCCAGCCCCGGTATTCTTAATTAAATATACTTTAAAACACTTAAAAATAAGTTGATGGGAACCGGCATTTTATCAATGAAACTTAAGGAAGTTTAGCAACAAAGTCCATGCTCAATAATCCAGGTATACAATCCAATATTTTTCAGTCAGGTCATCTGGACAGTTTATTTTTTATTTTTGTGCTGAAACGTTTTGCCTTCGATCCGGAAGGCTTCATCAGTCAAGGAAACACAAAACTGATTCTTCCCCCCAACAGCTTACTCCAAAGTGGAACAAATCAGTTATGTTGGTGCTAAGATGGTCTCATTGTCACGCCCCCTCCTCCATTGCCGGCCCTCTTCCTTGTTGACAGTCATATCAAACTGGTTGAAAACAACAAAGGAAGTTCAAGTTTAAGGAAGTTTAAATTAAACATCTTGGACAAATACATTGGGAGGTGGAAGGAATACTTCTTCGACCTTTTCAATCCCACTGGCTCGTCTTCCATGGACGAACCGAAGTCGGGGGACATCGGGGTTGGTCTGTCAATAACTGTGGTTGAGTTTGCCAAGGTAGTTAAAAAGCTCTGCGGTGGCAGGGCTCCAGGGGTGGATGAGATTTGCCTTGATTTCCTTAAGGCTCTGGATGTTTGAGGCTGTCCTGGTTGACACGCCTTTGCAACAACGCGTGGACATCGAGGGCAGTGCCACTGGATTGGCAGACTGGGGTAGTGGTTCCCCACTTCAAAAAGGGGGACCGGAGGGTGTTCTCGCCTCCCTGGTAAGGTCTATTCAGGGATATTGGAGAAGTGAGTCCTATCGTTGGTCAAACCTCAGATCCAGGAAGATCAATGTGGGTTCCATCCTGCGCGTGGAACACTGGACCAGCTCTTTACCCTCACTAGAGTCCTCGAGGGGTCATGGGAGTTTGCCCATCCAGTCTAAATGTGTTTTGTGGACTTGGAGAAGGCTTTTGACCATGTTCCTCAGGGTACACTGCGAGGGGTGCTCCGTGAGTATATTGGGGGCCCGTCGTTACAGGCTGGTCAGTCCCTATACAGGCGGTGCAAGAGTTTGGTTTGCATTGCCGGTAGTAAATTGGACCCCTTCAGGGTGGGAGTTGGCCTCCGCCAGAGCGGCCCGTTGTCACCGATTCTATTCATAGCTTTTGTGGACATAATTTCTTGAGGCAGCCAGTGGGCGGAGGGTTTCCGGTTCGGTGGCCTCAAGGTTCCATCTCTGCTCTTTGCAGATGATGTAGTCCTGTTGGCGTCATCATGCTATGATCTTCAGCTCTCACTGCAGTGGTTCGCAGACAAGTGTGAAGCGGCTGGGATGAGATTCAGCACCTCCAATCTGAGGCCATGGTCCTCATCCATAAAAGGGTGGATTGCTCTCTTCAGGTCGGGGGTGAGGTTCTGCCTCAAGTGGAGGAGTTCAAGTATCTCGGGGTTTTGTTCACAAGTGAGGGAAGAATGGAGCGTGAGATTGACAGACGGATTGGTGCAGCATCTGCAGTATTGCGTATTCTGTACCAGTCCATTGTGGTGAAGGGGGAGCTGAGCTGTGATGCAAAGCTCTATGTTTATTGGTTGATTCCTACCCTCACCTATAGTCACGAGCTCTGGGTAGTGATGTAAAGAATGAGATCCCTGATACAGGCAGTTGAAATGACTTTCCTCCGCAGGTATCTGGACTCTCCCTTAGAGATAGGATGAGAAGTTCAATTATCTGGGAGACACAGCATAGAACCACTGCTCCTCCACATCGAGAGGAGCAAGTTGAGGTGCGGGCATCTGGTAAGGATGCTCCCTGGGTGCTTCCCTAGGGAGGTGCTTCGGGCATGTCCAACTGGGAGGGGACCCCGGGGAAGACCCAGGACACGCTGGAGAGTCTCTTGGTTGGCCTGGGAACACCTTGGAGTCCTCCCAGAAGAACTGGAAGAGGAGGCTGTGGAGAGAGATGTGTGGGCTTCACTGCTCAAGGTGCTGCCTCACGACCCGACTTCAGAACAAGCAGAAGATGATGGATGGATGGAC